CATTCTTGTAATTTACTCAATTTACAGTTACATCATTTAATTGTTTCCACAGGATACCCCTGATGTCTTACAGGCTTATACATATGTTTGGGCCAAGAGTGATGACACCAATTTATATGGAGAATGGGATTTTGAGGTATCACAATTTTCATATTAAATTACAATTTTTACACGATGATGAGGGCAATTACGTCTTTTGCACAGACAAATGTGAGTCCTTGCCGACAAAAAATTGCATTTTTTGTCTCGTATCAATCCGAGTCCAATGCATGTACAACAAGTTTTGTCCTGCGTGTCCTATGTGGCATGGGATTTGAAATGAAAAGTAGTCTATGAGGGCATTCACGTCTTTTACACAGATAAGAGATCGATGTTGAGTCGAGTCGAGTCAGTGCCCGAGCTTTTTGGGTGGGACAAAAAAATTGTTACTTTTGTTCTACTATATCAGTCTCAGTCTCAGCCTCAGTCCAATACATGTCAAACGCAGTATGACCTGTTATGTTATGTTATGTTATGTTATGTCATGTCATGGGTTTGGGTTTGGAAAGGAATGAAATGTGGGTGGGTGTGTATGTTTGTTGGTAGGTGTGGAGGGAATCAAAGATGAAAGATTTTGTGAATATGACAATGGGGTTTGTGGAAGAAGAATCTAAGCCAAGAGTTGTAACCTATGAATCCTACTATAAACCAGAATGATATGCCAACAATCTTTTGAAAGATCCATATATCTGTATAGTCTGAAAATAAAAAACAAAACTGGTTACTTGGTTAGGTTATGTTTGCCTTAGCATTCTCTCATTTTCATAGGCATATGATTGATGATAGAAAATCCTTGACTTGAATTGCACTTGTTGAATTCAATCTTGTTTTAATGATGATTCATATTCAGTATTTCTATGTTTTTATAGGGTTTTTTTTGCACATTGTTGTTCGTGGTTACTTAACCCAACCATTTGTGCAAAGTGAATAACACAATTATTTCATACTCAACAACATCCAAATAAAAAAATACCTATCTCATAAAATCAAGAACAATAAACATTCAATAATTATAACAAAAATAACAAATTTATCAAAGAAATTAAATCCCAAGTCTATAGTTATAATTCAACTAGTCCTAAACAATTATTGAAAAAAAAAACAAAACAAAAACAAACATATCTGGATTGGATTAATGATAGTTGACTTCTGAGTCGGCAGCAATGGTGCGTTATGATAAATTTCAATTGAAAAAAAAAAATAAGTTGTTGATTTCAACTACATACGCAATGACCAATCAGAATCATAAAAATTCAGAAACCATACACCACCTATGCAAGTAACACAATGACTAAAATAAACATATAGAATAATTTGGTATTATAAAATTCGGCCACTTGGGCTTTGCCTTTTCTGAGTTTCAGTACGCTAACTCTTATATACATATCCGAAAAAAGGAAAAAAAAAAGTTGTAATACAATTTGAAAAACAAGGGCAATATAATATAACATAAATTATTTTAATATATATAAATAATAAAAAGGGATAATGAACACATTTAGTCCTTATTCTTTTTTTTTGTAAAATAAACTCTTATACTTTATTAATATGTACACATTAGGTCTTTTTCACCGGATTCTACAGGTTTTGCTGACGTGGAAGGGTTTATTTTACAAAGAAAAAAAAGAATAAGGACTAAATGTGTACATTTCAAAAAGTATCTTACCCTATCAAGTCATTATCCCTAATAAAAGTTTAGGGATAAAGCTGTAACCCCATCACACCGGCTGCATTTTCTAGTGCTTGTTTGGTAATACACTAATGTGCAATAAAGTTCTATCATATATCTACTGCATTATCCTTGTTTATGTGACATACATCTTCCTTTCATGCTTCGGCCAAACATTCAGATACATACAACAAAGCCAATTTCATATACATCTTCCTCTCATGCTTTTTAATCGGCCAAACATTCAGATACATACAACAAAGTCAACTTCATAATAACCCTTTAGAATTTTTCATGTAGAATCACTCATTTCAACATGACTTTCTTGTCACCAAAACTCATGTGGTCGCTATCCATTTTAATCATCTCATCTTTATGTGTCATCCACTTGAAATTGCACAATAGATATTTCGTTCTAAGTGTGTATCCAAAGCCTTCCAACCTAACCTTCAGCTCATTCCTACTCATGGTACCCCTCCTAGAATCTCACGAGAAATTATATTCATCAACGAAGATGAAATAATAGTTAGTCCTAGTGAAAGCCCTATTTCCATCGAGAAAGATTCGGTGTTGCTTACTATTGTGTATTCACATCTTTTGTACAAACAAAAGGTCTAGGATGGGGAGTGTATTCACAGACTTTCTAAGCCATTTTGGACAACCAGTATATTCACAACTTTTTGCATAGACAAAAGATCTAGAATGAGGAGTGTATTCAGACTTTCTAAGCCATTTTGGACGACCAGAATGAGAAGTGTATTCACATCTTCATCTTTTGTACAGACAAAAGGTCTAGAGCCAGTTTTAGTCCCACATTATGTGGATGGGACAAAAAGAAGCATTATTTGTCCCATCAACCTCGATTAAATCACTAAAGAATAAAAGGACAACAAACCAAAACCCAAATACAAGCAACAACCATGAAAGCTCAAAGTCATAAACCTTAAACCAAAAGAACCAAATTCTGTAAAAAGAAGAGTACAAAAGGTACATTAGGAAGTAGTAATTACTATCATAAGAACAATTAAATTGCATTCCACTACAATTCCAAACAAGTTTATTAAGTGCTCATGGGCTCGGGATTTGCAGCATTCAAGATATCCAGCAACGAATCATGTGCCTCCACCTCATCATGCCACAGAGGAAGCTTATCACCAGGGTAGAAGTTCCTTGTAACTCCCTCTGAGTTTATCTACACAACCACCACTTCCAATTAAATCCAACAAATAACAATCTAGTTTGTTTTCTATTATAATATTGCACCTTCATTTTTATTCTTATTAAGACATTGTATTGTACTCCAAAAAAACCCATCAATCTTAACAAATTTATAGACTTTCAAATTACAATGTTGTAATAGGAAGAAATATAAATATATGATTTATTTCTTGCATTTTAAAATATCTTTTTTTTTTTACTTACAATGACAGTGCGGACAACACCACCACTAGCACCATCTCGTGCAATGGCAAGTGAAACAGCCTTAACCACCAGTTGCTACAAAAAAAAAATCCATAAAGGTGAACAAGGGACAAAAGACGAAAATGCCCTTATTATAAAAAATAGCCCTAGAAAGGTTTTTTTTTTTTTTACCTCAGCTTCTTCCTTGGTCATGTTATCCTTCCATGATTGATCAAAGAACCCATACAAATAGCTCGACCCAGATCCTAATATATTCATGTTTATTTATTTATTGTTGAGAAAAAACAAGGTTAAAAAAAAATAATAATAAATAAGTGTTGAAAGAAAATGTAAAAAAACCTCCAATGGCAAATGGCTGCTCAAGAATTGTTCCACCAAGTGGGATTCCATATATTTTTCCACCTTCATATTTGTCCCAACCACCAACAATTATACCCGTTTGCAACATGTTCTATAAAATTAATAAAAAGAAAAAAAATATAGAAATATTTAGCACAATCATATATTTCAATGGACTAATTTAGCCATATAAATCAATTGGAAAAAATGATTAAAACGTAAAAAGAATGCAAACCTTGTTGTTATAAGATAAAAGTCTAACAAGGTTAGCAGCAACTTTCACAGTAGCAGGTTGACCCAGTTGAATCCTGTAAAAAACAAAGATATATCAGTAACAACAATTTCAACTTCTGTAATCTCATTTGCTTTCATAGATTGATACAAGTCAATCAAGTCAGCAGATATTCTCAAATATCATAGGAGAATGATTCAAACATGTATAGAAAGTAGAGTTCTTTTGTTCAATTGTACTTAAATTTCATCTTCAGGAAATTTTCTGTTGTTTCTTCCATCAAAAGAAGTTGGTTTTATCATATAATCAGATATACATCCAACATAAAGAACAGAAGTTGGATAATGAGGAGCAAAGAGTAATCTACTCACGTGTGCTGATGAAGAAAATATCTAACATAATCCGAGACAATTTGAGAGTCTGCAGCCTGCAACAACAGAAAAATTCCAGCTGTTAACTTTGTGTATGTTAGGAAGATTCTCCATTTGTTCATTAGAGACTTCAGCCCCTCTTTCCTAAATGACAATGCACTTAATTACACCAACTAATCTACAAGGATGAAGATATTGTTGGGGATATTAGTCATAGATACTAAACAATGGATGAAATTATGAAATTCTTCAAGTATTAGTTAATGTGATGAAGTTAAATGTGTACATGCTCGTTGCAGATAATAACTTCAGGCTAATAGATAATCCTTGAAACTATGAACTACAGAGTATAACTGTAAAAAAAACAGTGAAATTTAAGCAATAGAGGATTACCGATCCAGAGCGACAGATGTAGACATTGTCGGTCAGCTGTGTGATCTTATCAGACGCTCGATTAGCCACATACAGCCCTAATCAAGATAAAATTCAGCCACCAAAACAATATATTAACACATCGAAACGATTAAAACGGATAAAATAACAGGACCGGTGTTGTTTGTGTATAGTTAACAAAAGGGGGCTCATTTTACCGGTGCTGGTCCGGGAATCGGCGCCCAGAATAACGCCACCATTGTAAGTAACTCCGATGATTGTTGTCCCCATGGAGTGAGGAGCATTGACATCTGCAGTAGCATCGCGATCCATTCTCGCAGTTGCGAAGGTTTTCGAAGAGCAATGAAGGAAAAAAGCCCTAGTTGGGAGAGATTTGTTGCTTCTGTTCTATTTACCGATTTCAGACTAGTATAGGATCCTGACTTTTGCAACAAGTTATCAATCCTTCTACTTATTGGGTTATCTCGTTTTGCTCCTCATACTTCTGATTCGCTCAATAGCCCCCCTACACTTCATTATATTTCACATCAGCCCCAAAAGTATATATTTAATTGCATGTCGTCTTAGGGAAAGAATTATGATGGTTTTGGACATGAACATAGGTGAAAACCAACTATTGGTGTTGTGGAAAAGAAGATTACGAATACGACAATTAGAAATTTGTTGGGATCATCAAAAAATTAAGGGAAGGAAGATTATGATGGTTCGAAAATGCCCATGGGAGACAACCAACTATTGTTGTTAGGGGGAAAAAGATTATGAATATGACAACCAGAAATTTGTTGGGATCATCGAGAAATTAAGAAAAAGAAAATGATGATGGTTTATACATGTTCACAGTGGCGGAACCAGGAAAAAAATCCAAGGTGTAACATATTTGATTTTGGGGTAGCATGCTCGAAAATTTCCCAAAATTTTATACTTTATGCCTGAAAATTTAAGGGGTAGCATCGGCCACCCTTGGAACCCCCTTGGTTCCTCCCCTACATGTTCATATGAGACAAACAATTGTTGTTGATAGGAAATCAAAGATGATTGTTGTGACACATATTTTCATTATAGTACTATTACGGGGCATATGATGATCCAAAGATCTCAAACTGTATGTTATAAGATGTACTTGATGTAAATATATCCAAGGGTAGACTCAAGCGGTGAAACAACAATGACTTTGGCAAGGTGATATGTATACCTCTTTACATACTGCATTATAACGAGAAATATATAACTCCTAAGCAAAATATTAGTGAAGGGAAGTTGTAATTTACTTTGAGACGGTCGTATGGATATAAAGATCATTGAAAACGGAGTTTGTATGAGAAAGTTATGGCTATTTGAAGTTAAGATGAAAGTACGTTGCTATTTCGAGAAAGT